CAGAGCATTGGAACCCTTTGCATAAATGTGTAATATTTAGTACATCCTGCAAAAGGAACAAGTTTAATTTAGTTAAGCCACAAGGTTGAGTGAAAAACAGCATGCTGCTGTTATTGTTTAGTCAATTAAATTGTCCTCTGTGCTCTGAAGAACCGTTCCACATTTATAACCAGTGAGAAACACGCTCTGGCAATTTCTTTGCTTCCGATTGTCTTATATTTAGCACATCTAAAGATCTGAGGACAAATGATGGAAGACATGGTGATAAATTGTCAGGCTTTTCTAAAGATTCAGAAGTTCTAAAGTTCCTGCCAGTGACAGATGGTCTGTCCTTACTCATCGCTTGTCTTCCTGACAGGGCTTGATTTTTTTTCCCCCTTTTTTGCTCGATTCCCTTAACGTAAGCTCAGCTTCCTGGGAGGCAGGGTAATCTCATTTGTTATAACTATGTTACCTTGCATCAGTATGGAAACAACTCTCTATGTAAACAGGCACCCTGCACCTTTACATTATTAACACATGTATTAACACATAATGTACGTGTATAGTGATAAGAGAGCAGCATGGGGTAAGGAGATAAGAAACAGTTTACAAAGGAAAATCCATACTTCCTTTCTGTTATTTTGATAACCAAACATACAGGAGTTTCCATTGGATAGTTTTTTTCTTGCTGACTTGCCCAAGCATAATGCTGATTCCATAGCCCAAGCATAATGTGATCTTTTCAGGAGTGTTTCTTATCACTTATCACCATATATCACTATATATATATGTATATATGTGTGTATATATATATATATATATATATATATATATGTGTATATGTATGTATGTATATGTATATATATGTACATGTACAAATACATATGTATATGTATATACATATATGTATGAATATATGTATATGTATGTATATATGTACATGTGTGTATATGTGTATATATGTGTGTGTGTGAGTGTGTGTGTATTATTTTTAGGATATTCAATATTTCATAGCAATCTATTTTTTTGGGGGGGGAATTTTGGATAAAAAATACAATTAGTGTTTACTAACTTGCTAGACACTTGTGAGAATCCACAGAATGAGAACACATAACTATAACAATGATGTACTCAGTTATAAAATAGATTCCCAGTGAAAAAAGGGAAAAAAAATCAATCAATTTCTTAATCCCTTTCATTGGTTTCAATATGTTTACTGCCACAAAAGGAAATGAGATACTTAGGTAAGGAAGATCGGGAAAGGAAACAATTTTCACTGTTTGAGTTCTAACATAACTGTGGAAATAAATAAAAAGGCTTAAAAAATCCTAAGGTATCTTACAATCACTTCTTAATCCTATATCCAGAAGTAATTCAATTCTTCAAGTTAATAATGACACTAGTCCGATACAGTGTAACTTGAACTGAAGTGTATCAAGTGGAAAGGGATTAATACTACTAAAAAAATAGAAAAATTATCAGATGAATTGATTTGGGATTTACAGTAGTTAATTGGCATCTGTTATACACACCAATAGCTGAGAATTTCTTTTTTATTTAAATATGTCTCTTCTAAGAATGTTCATTATATGTTAGCTCAGTGTGATAATATGTGAAAAGCATAAACAACATTCCCACTCCTTTCTATGTTTTATTTTAACTCTGTTGTATTTTACCTTTCACACACACACACACACACACACACACACACACACTATACACAATTGTAGGTATAGTAGATTTTGTGTATATATACACAAACACACACTGTATACTAGTATAGTTATAGTAGTAGACCTTATTTTATCTGTTTATATACCTATTCTAGTCATATAAGTAAAAGAACTCAAAGCCTACCAGGCTTTCAAAGTCTAGACTACTAAACTGCCTGTCCTCTTTTTATCCCTTCCATTACAGATATCAGTTACCTTTTTAATCAGTGGCTTTTTCACATTGCTTACTTTTAGTAACATTCAGTCATTAGAAAATCAGAGAACTCTTGCCAATTCCTTGTTTATGCATGAAGATGTTAACCTAAACCTAAGAAAAGTATATTTCTCCTTTAGTGGCCCTTAACTCAGATAATGAGTGAAAGCATTAACATTTTGTGTACAACATAGCAATAAAAAATTTCAAAGTTTCTTTATAAAATGGTGCCACAGTGATACTTAGATTTTAGCTGTGTATATATGTATATTTTGGTATGTAATGAAAGGGATGAGACCTGTCTACCTTTGTATTCTTAAGAATCTTTCTGGTATTATTTGTTTTCCTTCCCCAAAGAAAACTGGGCTCATAAAAAAAAAAAAAGTCCTGAACATTCAACATTTTTGAAAAGGTCAACAAATATTGCATGGTTTTGAAATATTATATGCCTTTATAAAATCACAGAATTTAAAATTACTCTAATGAGCTATTTATTAAAGTTTATTAAGGTTAGAAAAAGGTACATAGCTAAGATTAACAAAAATGCATTGCATTTAGATAAAATAGGCTAAATTACTCTAACAAGTAGACCCAAAGTGTGATGTTTCAAGAGGTTTATTTCAGGGTTAGCACAATACCACATTAAGTAGTAGTGGAGGAGTATGGTCTGCTCCATGAACGCAAGTTATCGTAGTAAATGATTTCTTTCTTTATCTGCAGTAATGTGCTAATAATCTTTCTTCTTGTTTCCAATTTATACTGTGGAATGTCTGATGTATTCATGCTCATGAGTGAAATTTAAAGACAAGAGTGAAAGAAGATTATGTCCCTGCTGATCCTAAGCAAGGGAAGGTGGTATAGTGAATAGAATCATGGCCTTAGATGACATATTTGCTTTTCTCCTTTACTGAAACACAAGACTGAGCCTGTACCTCTATATGTTTCATGCTTTGCCTGAAAGCTATTTCAGGTCAGAGTGTGGAAATGAGTAAATTTTATGGTCTAGACAAATTATCAGTGAGTTACCATCGTAATCCTTACCCTCTCCCTCTTTCACAAAATGCTGTTGTATGAGACAACTTTTCACTTAAAAAGGTCTACAAGTTAATGCAGAATTCTTATAATCCAAATGTTGCTTAATCTGCCCAAGCTGAGTCATCTCTTCATTCTACTACTGACATTGTTTCAATATTACTTTCAGTCTACATGTGGCTTTCATTTTTTTTTTTTCTGATTTCTTGCTGTTTCCAAATTTTAGTTATTCTTTTTTTTAGTCATGGATTTTTTTAAACAATGCATTTCTATCTTATCCAGAGAACTACTTTTCTTGTATCAGTCTCTGGTTTGTATTTCTCTAAATTCTTATGGAGTTCTTGCTTACTTTCTAACATTTTTTTATTGCTAATAAATTAATGATGGTTTGTCTAAGATGGTAAAGAAATATAATCATAAAATTAGAGATAGATGTTGTCATTATTGCTATAAAGTGATTTCTTAGTAAAACCGAAAACTGCAGTCACATTTTCCACATTGTTTCACATGTCAATTGAAAATATATGCATTTCAAAATATGATAATCATGATATAACTTAAAAATAAATAATGTATCTTCACTTCTATGATAATGTATCATCTATATAGTCCAGTAAAGTCATAGGGACTGATGTGACACATATGGAAAAAGTAAAAAATTTATACTAAAATTAAAAGAGAAAACGAAGATTCTGAGAATAACTGTATCCTTTCCAAAAACATTGAATCATACAGGAAATATATTTCCAATTGTTTCTTCATGATTCATTGCAACTTTCAACAGTCATTTCTCAGTTGGTCCAAGAACGAGGAAAAAACAATCACCATATTATAGCAATTTCTTGGTAGTTTTTAGAAGCCATCTTTGCTTAAAACCCAATCTTGGGGGGCACCTGGGTGAGTCAGTCGGTTAAGTGCCCAGCTTTGGCTTAGGTCATGATCTCACAACTCCTGAGTTCGAGCCCTATATCAGGCTCTGTGCTGACAGCATAGAGCCTGGAGCCTGCTTTGGATTCAGTGTCTCCCTCTCTCTCTGCCCCTTCCTCTGCTCGTGTTCTGTCTCTCAAAAGTAAATAAACATTTAAAAAATTTTTTTAAATAACCTTTGGGTATTATTGCTGAAAATATCAACAATATCTCTTACAAAACAGCCTCACCTATTATATGCCTGTATGCCCCATGGCATGAATCATAACAAAATGCCTTAAAATATGTATAAAATCGGATAGAGTGGAAACAGATATGAAAGCTACCTCTACTATACACACCCCATCCCCCCACACACATACCCACACACACACTCTAGCTGTGTGTTTACTTTTTTAGTCCAAGCCAAGCTTGGACTTACTTTTTAGTCCAGCTTACTTTTTTAGTCCAAGCTTACTAAGGACCATTTAGAATCAATTAATTCAAAGTTTGTCAGCCGAGATTTCTACCTATATATTGTTTGCTTTTCCATTTACATAAATTTTGTTTGTTATTACCCAGCTAAAAGCTACTGAAGTTACCCACCCATAACTTAATGCTAATATAATGTTTATTGCTTTTAGTTTTTACATTCAGGTAATTTTACAATTGAATCTCCTTAGGGAACACAGCACAAAGTTTTTCAGAACATGGAGCAGTTTACTTTAAGAAAATGGCAAACACATACACAGGGAAATAGAAAAAGATAAGAATGTGAAGTTAGAGCCAGATTGTGGAGGGTTATGTACTTAGATAGAAAGCCATAAAAGCTGATTTGGAAGAGGAAATGTGATCTGAACTACACTCGCAGTTAAATCACTGTATAGCATTATTTATTTTTTTTTCTAGGCTTTTGATGAATTGATTTTCAAACTTAATTAGCAAGTCTACAGTGCTAATAGTACATATTGAACACAAATGCTTCTATAATATTTTGCTAAGTTTTCCATCTTTAATTAACAACAAAGACCTTTGTAATATATGATATTTTTGTTTTGTTTTGTTTTGTTCGCCATTTGCAAAGTATGTTCAGTTGGTTTGGTTTGGTTTTCACTGTTAATGCTGACTGATAGCTGGTTTGTTTTCTATTCTAGGTTGTGGAGACTAATTTGGTTGCTTTTGACTGTCACTGGATCATTATAAATGAGGTAACACCAACTGAACCTTATTGTCAACTCTGGGTCCTGTTTTCATATATTTAGTCACAGCATTTCCTATGGCCTTGGAGTTCTAAGAGGAAACAGAACACAAAGTAAACTTTCAGCTTCCTGAGTGGATGCTAACTAAAAATAGAGTAAGGAGTTTTCAAAAAATTATAAATGGTTTTGAATGAATAAAATAAATGGAGATCATCTTCCCACTGAGTATCTTTTAGTCTTTTCCATTGGCATACACTGCTTGCTTTGGGAAATCATCTTTATAAAAAGTACAGTTCTTTGTGAACAAACTGAAGTCCTCCCAGTGGAGTGCCTGTGCTCCATTTATATTTTAATGTTGTTTCTAGAACTTTTATATCCCACCCCCCTCACACGAGGATTAAATAGTTCAGCAGATGAATATGAATAAATAAAAATAGATATTTTTCTTTTCACAATGAAATATGATTTTAAAATCCATCAAGTTGTCAAGTTCCTCATGAAAGCTTATTGATTTTTGTAAAGACAATACATAAGATTAAAAATATATTATAACATGAGAACTCTGTGAGATAGATTGTTCCATTGGCACCTGCCAATCAGAAATGGAAAGGACAACGAACAAATCAGTCATGGACAAATAATGAGATCACATGAATTTTCCCCAAAAAGACCTAGTATTCATATATCTATTGCTCATGAAAAAAAAGAATTTTTTATTTATTTGTTAGCTGTGTTACTATGGATATATAATATAATCATCCTGTGTCTGTTTTTTCATTTGTACAGAAAGTTCAATCACATTTACTTTATAAGTTCATTATAAAAATTAAGTGAGATACTACCTAATACTCTTAACATACTGCTGACAACCGACATTTACTAAAAGGTACTACAAAAATGATTATAGCACATTAAAGTTCACAGATCACTTTCTCACATGTTAATTTATTGAATAATAAACACTATTCTATGAAACACTGAGAGAATGAAGTTCATACAGTGTAATTGATTTTACGCAGAAAAATAAAAATCTAGATTTTTCAATAAAAGTCATAGATTTTTCAAGTTGTGTCTCCTATACATTGGTAGAATCTTAGTTCTGTTCTTTTTTTTTTTTTAAGCTATAATTAACATATTACATCATATTAGTTTCAGGTCTATCTATAACACAAGGATTATATAGATATATACACACCTTGTATATATGCATATATATATTGTATATTATATATATATATATACACACATTGTGTATGTGTGTATGTGTGTGTATATATATATATATATATATATATGTTTGATCATCACAGTAAGTCTAGTTACCACCTATAAACATACAAAGCTACAGTTTTTTTTCTTGTGACAAAATCTTTTAAGATACCCTCTCTTAGCAGCTTTCAAATATGCAATACAGTATTACTGATTATAGTCACTATGCTGTACATTATATCCCCATGATTTATTTATTTTATAACTAGAAGTTTGTATCTCTTAATCCCCTTCACCCATTTTCCCTATCCTAATCCCCCTCTCCTCTGGCAACCATCAAAAGTGATTGTATCTATTAGTTTTGTTTTGTTTGCTCATTTATTTTACTTTTAAAATTCACAGGTAAGTGAGATCATATATTATTTGTCTTTCTCTGACTTATTTCACCTATACCCTTAAAGTTTATCCATGTTGTTGTGAATGGCAAGAATTCATTCTCTTTTAAAGCTGAGTATTTTCCATAGTGTGTGTGTGTGTGTGTGTGTGTGTGTGTGTGTGTGTGTGTGTGTAACATATATATGTATCTCACATCTTCTTTATCCATTTATCTATTGATGGACACTTAGGTTGCTTCTATACTCTGGCTACTGTAAATAATATTGCAATGAACATAAGGGTATTTATGCCTTTTTGAATTAGTATCTTTGTTTTCTTTGGATAAATACCCAGAAATGGAATTGCTGGATCATATGTTTTGTTTTGTTTTGCTTTCAATTTTTTGAGGAAACACCATACTGTTTTCCATAGTGGCTTTACAATATACATTCCTACCAACACTGCACAAAATTTCCCTTTTCTCAGCATCCTCCCCAACACTTACTATTTCTTATATATTTTTTATAATAGCCATCTAACAGATGTGAGTTGATATCTCATTGTGATTTTGATTTGCATTTCACTGATGATTAGTGATACTGAGCATCTTTTCATGTGCTTGTTGGCTATATGTATGTCTTCTCTGGAAAAAAAATGTTTACTCGGGTCCTCTGCCCATTCTTAGATTTTAGGTTTTTTGATATTGAGATGTATGAGTTCTTATATATTTTGGATATTTACTCTCCTCCCATTCAAAAGGTTTCTCTTTCATTTTGTTGATGGTTTCCTTCACAGTGCAGAAGTTTTTGTTTGTTTGTTTGTCTTCTTTTTTGTTTTTGTTTTTAGTGTGAAGTAGTCCTAACGTTTATTTTTTGGTTTTGTTGCCCTAGGCTTTGTAGTCATATCCAAAAAATCATGGCCAAGACTTAGGTCTAGAAGCTCACCACCTTTTTTCTTTTTTAAAGGAGCTTTATGGTTTCAGGTCATAGATTCAAATCTTTCATCCATTTAACTCTTGTGCATGGTATAAGAAGTCTTATTTCATTCTTTTGTGTGGCTGTCCAGTTTTCCCAACACCATTTATTATAGACTGTCTTTCCTATTATATATACTTGGCTCTTTTGTTCTAAATTAATTGACTGACCATATATGTGTGGGTTTCTTTCTGGGCTATATGTTGTGTTTCACTGATCTATGTGTCTTTTTAATGCTAGTACCATACTATTTTGATTATTATAGTTTCATAATATAGTTTGAAATCAGAAAGCATAATGTGTCCCTGTTTGTTCTTTCTCAAGATTGCTTTGACTATTCAGAATCCTTTGTGGCTCCATAAACATTTTAGGATTATTTCTTCTTTTTCTGTGAAAAATGCAATTGAAATTTTATAGATATTGCAAGGAATCTGTAGATTGCCTTGGTTAATGTGGACATTTTAACAATATTAATTAATACAGTCCATTACCATGAAATAAATTTTCATTTAGTTGTTTCTTCTTCAATTTATGTCATCAACATCTTATAGTTTGCATTATACAGGTCTTTCACTTCCTCAGTTAAACTTGTTCCTATATGTTTTATTCTTTTTGCGCAGTTGTGGAATTGTTTTCTTAATTTCCCCTTTTAGTTTTGCTGTATCCTATAGATTTTGGTATGTTGCATTTCCCTTTTCATTTGTATCAACATATTTTTTTTAATCTCTCCTTTAATTTCTTTGTCAACCATTGGTCATTCAGTAGCATATTGTTTAATTTCTATATATTTCTGAATTTTCTTATAATTAATTTCTAGTTTCCTACCATTATGGTAGAACAGATGCTTGGTATAATTCCAATCTTCTTAAATTCTTTATGACTTATTTTGGGACTAACATGTGATCTATCTTGGAGAATGTTCTATGGTCCACTTGAGAAGGATGTATATTCTGCTGCTTTTTGATGGAATGTTCTGTGTATATATATATAGATGGAATATTCTGTATATATTTGTTCTGTATATATAAACCATCTGCTTTAATGTGTCATTTAAGGCCAATGTTTTCTTGTTGATTTTCTCTCTGGGTGTTCTGTCCATTGATGTAAGTGGGGTGTTAAGAGTTTCTATTATTATTGTATTGCTCTCATTTTTTTCCTTTAGCTCTGTTAACATTTATTGCGTCTATTTATACAATTTTATGTTGGGCATATAAATATTTACAAATGTTATATATTCTTGTTGTATTCGCCAATTTATTGTTATGTAATTCCCATCCTTGTCATTATTACAATCTTGTTTTAAGGTCTATTTTGTCTCATAAAAATAGTTACCTAGCTTTCTTTTGATTTCCATTTTCATGGGACATCTTTTTCTATACCTTAACTTTCAGTCTGTGTGTGTCCTTACATCTGAGGTGAGCCTCTACCAGGCAATACAGAGATGGGGCTTATTTTTATTTTACCCATTCAGTCAATCTATGTCTTTTGATTGGGAAATTTAGTTCATTTACATTTAAAGTAATTACTGATAAATGTGTACTTATTGCCATTTTGTTTGTTGTTTTCTAGTTGTTTTGTAATTCCTCTCTATACCCTTATTATTTTGCTGTCTTCCCTTGTGATTTGATGACTTTCTTTAGTGTTATGTTTAGATTCCTCTCTCATTATATTTTGTGTATCTACTCTAGGTTTTAGCATTGTGATTACCATGAGGCTCATGTATAACTGCCTATATAAGAAACAGTCTACTTTCAGTTGATAGCAGGTTGAGTTTGAACACATTCTTCTTCTTTTTTTTAATATTAGAGAGAAAGAGAGAGCATGAACAGGGAGAAGGCAGAGGGAGCGAGATCCTAAGCAGCTCCATGCTCAGCACAGAACCCAATTTGGGGCTTGATCCCACAACCCTGAGATCATGACCTGAGCCAAAATCAAGAGTCTGACACTGAACCAACTCAGCCACCCAGGCACGCTGAGTTTGAACACATTCTAAAGCTACATTTTTACTCCCCCACTGTGTTTTATGTTTTTCATGTTACATTTTCATCTTTTTATCTTGTGTATCCCTTAACTATTATAGTTACAAGTTTTTGAACTACTTCTTTAAAAATTAATGTTTATTTACTATTTATTTTGAGAGAGAGAGAGTGGATGCATGAGTGGGGCAGGGGCAGAGAGAGGGAGAGAGAGAATCCCAAGCAGGCTCTGCACTGTCATTATAGAGCCCAAATCAGGGCTCAATCATACAAACCACAAAATCATGACCTGAGCCAAAATCAAAAGTTGGATGCTTCACTGACTGAGCTCCCCAGGTGCCCCTAAGCTAGTTTTGTTTTTTAACCTTCATACTAGCTTTATAAGTGATTAATCCAATAGCTTTACTACATACTTACCCTTATCAGTGAGTCTTGTAGTTTTATATGTTTTATGATTACAAATTAGTGCTCTTCC